GCAGGCTCAGTGCTCCACGGGAGCATTCCCGGGGCTCTGCTGCTAGCCCTGGAGAAAGTTCTTTCCAGGCCCGAAATGCAGCTTCTCATCACCCACGCGGAGGGAGGGAGCTGGGCCTGTGAGTCCGGGGAGACAGATCTGAGCAGATCGCAGCCCAGGCCCACGGGGCCGAGGAGGGGATTAAGTGCCACCCTGCGTAGAGGTTTCTAATCAGGCAGCAGGTTTCTGCTTCTCCTCAGGGTGGGTAATCCCATTTCTCTAAATTGCTCCCCCGTTGCGATCACGGCAAATTAAGATCAAATTAAGTTTGAATGGAAGAGGTGCCAGGGCCCAAGCAGTTGGGGCTCAAGTAACTGTTTTACTGTCATAACTAATGTGGCAGGGCTGGAGGTGCCAAGCTCTGAACCGCCAGGCCTGGAGGTGCCAGATTCTGAGCTGCCAGGCCCGGAGGTGCCGGGCTCTGAGCTGCCAGGCCCGGAGGTGCCGGGCTCTGAGCTGCCAGGCCCGGAGGTGCCGGGCTCTGAGCTGCCAGGCCCGGAGGTGCCGGGCTCTGAGCTGCCAGGCCCGGAGGTGCCGGGCTCTGAGCTGCCAGGCCCGGAGGTGCCGGGCTCTGAGCTGCCAGGCCCGGAGGTGCCGGGCTCTGAGCTGCCAGGCCCGGAGGTGCCGGGCTCTGAGCTGCCAGGCCCGGAGGTGCCGGGCTCTGAGCTGCCAGGCCCGGAGGTGCCGGGCTCTGAGCTGCCAGGCCCGGAGGTGCCGGGCTCTGAGCTGCCAGGCCCGGAGGTGCCGGGCTCTGAGCTGCCAGGCCCGGAGGTGCCGGGCTCTGAGCTGCCAGGCCCGGAGGTGCCGGGCTCTGAGCTGCCAGGCCCGGAGGTGCCGGGCTCTGAGCTGCCAGGCCCGGAGGTGCCGGGCTCTGAGCTGCCAGGCCCGGAGGTGCCGGGCTCTGTGCTGCCAGTCCCAGGGGTGCCGGCAGCTCAGCCCTGGCACACAGGAAGCTCTGGATAACAGTGCAAGAGGAGAAGTATTGGGTGTTCATGGCCATAATGGAGGGCGTGAGTGTATGTCCAGAGAAGGCATTCTCCGGTACAGTCTGAGTGAGCGACCACAAGGTTTGGTGTGTTCAGCTCCTCAGATATTGGAGCGGTAAAGCTAGGGCTGGTTTCCCGCCGTTATTACAGGGAAAGCTCTGAGTCGCAAGGTAGTAACATTAGCCGATGACCCACAAATACTTCAGTGAGGCGAGACTGGAGAAGAGCGCGAGGAACTTGGCAAAGAGCTAGCCAGGCTCAGTGGCTGGGGGGCTGGCAAACAGTGGGTGTGTCTCTTTGGACATGCAAGCGGGTTCTCGTGCATCTGTGACTCCAGAAGAAAGGGGCCTGGCTCACTGTAGACAGCTCGGTGATGTACTACCCGGCGTGCAACAGCAGCAGCGCGCTGAAAAGCGGACAAGCTGGTCGGGTGGGCAGGATAATACGGAGGCTAGTCGACGGCGTTCTAGAAAGCCGGTAGCAATTGTGTGGAACTTGGAGAGAGCAGCAAAATTGCAGGAGGGCCAGGCTGGGATGTTCGGGGCTCTGGCAGCACCTTTGCGAATAGTTGTCTGTCTCTTCCTAGAGAGCCGGTTTCGTTTTGTTATTACCCTGCCTGTGCGACGCGAAACAGAAGGAGGCCTCCCTTGGGGTGCTGTAGTCCGTTCTCCTCAGCCTGTCCCAGATCCTGGGCCCTAGGTGCCGGCCTGCCCTCTAGCTGAGGGATGCTCGACCCATCCTCTGCCCCAGGCCTCACCCCCATGCCACTCCTTCACCCACCCCCCGCCCTGTCGTTTCCTATCCCTGCTCCATCCCCACCTTGCCCCTGTTTCACTCCTTTCCCCAAGCCCCCGTCCCCTCACCTGAGCATGCCCTGTCCCCTTCCCAGACAGCCTGAATGCTGCAAAACAGCCGTTTGGTGGTGGGCGGGAGGGGAAGGAGTTGGTTAATGGGGCCCCTGTGTGTTAACGGAGCCCCTGCCAGGCAAGAAGCACTAGGGGGAGCACCCGTTCCTTTTTCCTCATGGGTGCTCCAGCCCTGAAGCACCCACCAAGTCGATGCCTGTGCCCAGGGGTGCTTGGCCCTGCCGCATCAGAGCAGAAACAACAGACAGGACTATGCAGCACTTTAAAGACTAACAAGATGGTTTATTAGGTGATGAGCTTTCGTGGGCCAGACCCACTTCTTCAGATCAAATTGTGGAAGAGAAATTGATTTGAGGAAGTGGGTCTGGCTCAGGAAAGCTCGTCACCTAATAAACCATCTTGTGAGTCTTTAAAGTGCTGCCTAGTCCTGTTTTTTGTTTCAGCAAGATCAGACTAACACGGCTGCATCTCTATTAGCATTGGAGCAGGGGGTTCCAAGGCCTGTGTGCAGCTCAGCCAAGCGCAGGGCGCCCTCTCGTGGCAGAGAGGCAGTGGCACGCAGGCCAGGTCCCTCTGGCCCACCAGTAACTAGTCCCCCATGTTGCATTGCAGGGCTGCTGTGCTTCTTGCTGGGGCTGGGCGTGATCATCCTGAACTCTGTGCAGCCCGAGACGCTGAAGCTGGTCTTTAATCTGAGTGAGGAAAGGGGAGAGGAAGAGGAAGACGAGCGACCCCCGAGAGACAAAACCGGCTGCTCTGAGCAGGACCCGTTCCTGGCGTCCCTGAGCGAGCATTGCAGAGTGACGATTACGAAGCTGTAGGGCATCCCAGCTGCCCGCCGCCCATTGCCCTGGTGGAGCTGAGCGAGCGGGTAGCAGCCTGTGCCCGGGCTGGGTGCAGGAGCCCTCTTGGCCTGTCCATTGTTAACTGCCGCCCGTTCAGCTTTGCACGGTCACACGAGGCACATAGGCATGGTCCAAACAGGCATAGGACCTAACCAGCCCAGCATCCTGTCTCCAGTAGTGGCCAACGCTGAATGCTTCAAGCTCCCAGCAATGGCCAGCTCTTTTCCCCCTGGGGGGTTGTGTAGGAGCCAGCCATGTGTCTGACAGCTCTACCGTGCATTAGCCAAGCCTGAATTCCATGGGCCTTCATGATGCCCTCTCCCCTGGCTTCCTTAGGTCCCTTTCAGTCTTGCCTAAGCTAAGGACTTGTGGCCACTGCATGCCCTGGGCGCCCACTTGCTTTACCTCAAGATGAATAGTAGCCGTGTTAGTCTGCTCTTGGTAAAACAAAAAAGCAGTCATGTAGCACTTTAAAGACTAACAAGATAGTTTATTAGGTGATGAGCTTTTGTGGGGCAGACCCACTTCTTCAGATCATATTCTGAAAGTGAACAGGCATGACCATTTTATAACAGAGGGATACAATGAAAGAAGATAAAAAAATTTACAAACAGACAATTCAGCTACATAGATCAAAAAGTGGGGGCAAGGGGGCGAAGTGACAAGGAAGGAGGAAAATGGTAGAAGAGTCATAGATAAATATGAAAATAAAATACTGATGTATGGAAGATTCACAGGAAAGTGTTACTGTGAAACGTGGGCAAACATAACCATGATCAGGGCTAGACAGATAATGTAATCTACTCGCCTGTGGTGAGTAGATTACAACCCGGAAGAGCCGGCGCAGAGCGCAGAACTGCATGGCTGGCGAGCGGGGCTCACCGCCACTCGGCGAGTCCTGATCATGATGAAGGCTCATTCGCAACCTGTCGAATTTTAGCATAAATAAGAGTTCTGAGGTCTCCCTCTGTAATTGGGGGTTAAAGTCTCTTTGTTGTAAGACCCACGTTGTCAGGGCTTTAAGAGAAGGACCAATTTGATTGAAATGCTGGCTGACAAGTTTGTGTGTGTGGAGATTTCTGATGTTTGATCAGTGAGCATTAATTGTTTGGCGAAGTGACAGACCAGTTTGTCCAACATACATCGCAGAGGGGCATTGTTGGCACATAATGGCATATATCACATTGCTGGACATACAGGAATATGAGCCCTGGATTGTATAACTGACATGGTTAGGTCCAGTGATGGTGTCTCCAGAGTAAATATGTGGACAAAGCTGGCAGCAGGGTTTGTTGCAAGGGAAAGTTCCAGGGTTAGTTTTAACGTGGTGTGCCCTGTGGTTGTTTGTGTGAATCTTCCTGAGGTTAGGTGGTTGTCTATGGGAGAGTATAGGTCTATCACCCAGAGCCTCTTGGAGTGTAGCATCCTGTTCCAGTATAGGTTGTAGGTTATTGATAATGCATTGGAGGGGTTTGAGCTGGGAGCTGTAGGTGATGACAAGAGGTGTTCTATTGTTGATTTTCTTGGGCCTATCTAGGAGTAGCTGGTTTCTGGGTATTCATCTGGCCCTCTCAATCTGTTCTTTCACTTCCCCTGATGGGTAATTGAATTTTACGAATGCTTGGTAGAGATCTTGACGTTTCTGGTCTCTGTCAGTGGGATTGGAGCAGATGCGATTATATCTAAGGGCTTGACTATAGACGGTGGACTGTATGGTGTGTCCTGGATGGAAGCTGGAGGCATGTAAGTAAGCGTAGCAGTCAGTGGGTTTTCTGTAGAGAATGGTATTGATTTTGCCATCAGTGATTTGTACTGTGGTGTCCAGGAAATGGATCTCTCGTGTCGAATGGTCAAGGCTGAGATTGATGGATGCAGGTTGTTAAATTCTCTGTGGAATTCGTCCAGCGTTTCTAAACTGTGGGTCTAAATGATAAAGATATCATTGATGTAGCGTAAGTAAAGGAGGAGTAATAGGGGACAAGAGTTGAGGAAATGCTCTGTCAGCCATAAAGATGTTAGCGTACGGTGGGGCCATGCGGGTACCCATGGCTGTGACGCTGATCTGGAGGTATAAGTTGTCCCCAAATTGGAAATAATTGTGGGTAAGAACAAAGTTACATAGATCTGCCACCAGATTTGCTGTGGTAACATATGGGATAGTGTTTCTAATCGCTTGTAATCCACCTTCAAGTGGAATATTGGTGTAGAGAGCTTCTATATCCATTGTGGCAAGGATGGTGTTATCAAGGTTATCGATGTTTTGTAATTTCCTCAGGAAGTCAGTGGTATTTTGGAGATAGCTAGGAGTGTTGGTAACATAGGGTTTGAGGAGGGAGTCTCCATAGCTGGATAATCTGGTAATGAGTGTGCCAATACTTGAAATGATGGATAGCACAGTATTCCTGTAGACAGAGACAGCGAAAGAAGACTTCAAGCCTTGAAGCCTTCTTTCTCCGTCTACGGGAATATTTCCAAGACACAAGCTAATCAGCTAAATCCTCCCTACCAACACCAAAAGAAACAAAATTCTATGTGGACTCCCCCCGACGGTCGTAGTTACGATCTGGATTTCTATATTCAATGCTTCCGCAACTGTGCACAGACTGACATTATGCGCAAACAACAACAGGTGACACATAATCTCAGCTGCGCTGAATGCTGTCTTATCCAGAGTCCCCCAAAAAACCTCTGACATTATAATCAAGCCAGCTGAGAAAGGGGGTGCTATGGTCATTATGAATAAGTCGGACTATGAACAGGAGGCAGCTAGACAACTCTCCAATACCACATTTTACAGACCTCTCTCCTCTGATCCCACTTTAGAATACCAAAAGAAATTACGCCATCTGATTAAGGAACTCCCTGCTTCTACTCGGGACCAAATTCACACAGACACGCCTTCTGAACCCCGGCCAGCATTAGTCTATTTGCTTCCCAAAATCCATAAACCTGGAAACCCCGGACACCCCATCATTTCAGGTATTGGCACACTTATGACCGGATTATCCAGCTATGTAGACTCCCTCCTCAAACCCTGTTACCAACGCTCCTAGCTATCTCCGAGATACCACTGATTTCCCAAGGAAATTACAAAACATCGATAACGTTCCTCAAGATGGGCCGTGTCCTCGTTTTGTTTTCGTGTCTCTCAAGTATGGCTGCACAGCACCAGGAAGGCATGTCGTGAGTGTCCTTTTTAGGGTGGAAAGACCTTCTCCAAGAAAGAGGCTCTAAGACAATCAGACTCTGCCCTAGCCGGCCCTCCTCTGGGCTGTAGTCCCTTCGCCAAAGCCCTGGCAGAGAATGCTTTGGGACCAGTTCCTGAGTGTTTTGGTCTCCAGTGCAAAGCGCCTTTACACCCAGTGTGAGGATGCCTATGGACTTCCCTTTAGTTGTCGGTCTTCTTGGTGAGCTGGGCTGGGTTTTTTGGAATCCTGCTGTCTAAAGATTAGCGCTGCAATGCTGGGTTCTTTATCAGATTCCTCCTCCAAGGGTTGTGGAACAAGGTTAGACCGAGGTCACTGACTCGTCCTTGGTGGCCCTGCTAAACTCACTTCTTGAGCCATCCCGGGTGAGTGACTTAGGGCTGAACTGAGCAGAGCCTGTGCCCCGAGCGACACTCATACAAGGTGTCAACAATCTCTTCTCTCTCCCCACCCCATGACATTTGGCCAATTTATGTAATGAGCGGTGGAAGTCCCCCATTATTGTCATTGTACTGAGCTTTGATCTCCCTCAACAAGGTGCGCTGTGTGGGTCTCGGCTGCATTCATAATAAATTCTGCTTAGGAGGCGCCACGTTAAGGGCCCTTTGCACTGCTATTGTAAAGCATTTTGGGATTAGCTACATGGCAAAGGTTAATTTAGTGCTTGTGACAGGGTGGACTAGACTCAGAGGCCACTTGCTGGAGGCAGAGAAAGAGTAGTAGAGGAGTCCTCCAAGCAGCCTAGAGTAGTTGCAGGGGAAGCAGCCAATCAGAGGCTGCAGGGAGCTGCCAATCAGGGCCCAGGAGACCCATATAAAAGGAGTTCAAGAGCTAGACAGAGCAAGTGCATTGCTGGAGCTGGAGGAATGCAGATGCTACTCCTGGCTTGCTGAAAGGATCAGCAGATCAGTGCTGGCAGGGAGGGGGCAGGGAGGAAGCACTTCTGGCCAGCCAGCCAGCCCTGAACTTAGCTGAGCCCTGAGGTAAGGCTGATGTGTTGGTGAAAGCTGGGGCCATGGGGAAGCGGCCCAGAGAACTGAAAACAGTGTAATCCAAGGGATATGGTGGCATGGGGATGCTGCTTTTATTGTTTCTGGGCCTGGGTCCTCCCATAGCCCCCTGGGGAATTGGTCTCTCATTGGGCAGAGATAAGCCCCTAAAAGGGGGTCATCTGAACTGAGAGCTGGGGCCAGAATGGACTCAAAGGGCAAAGCCATTGATGCCTGCCTGTGGTGGGGAAGCCACTCCAGCCCCCCGTCCATCTCCCCTTTAATTGGTTAACTGATTAAACATAATTACCCGACCGTAAGCGCTCATGGGTGCAGCATTGTGTTGGCCAGAAAGCTTCTCCCTCTGACGTAGCTTCTGCTGCTCGCAGAGGTGGGTTTTTTAATAGCAATGGGATAGGTCGAGTACTTTACCTGGACATGCCGCAGCAGCACGGCTGTATCGACACAGCCTGGCCTCTGCGCCCTATGTGTGGAGCCTCAGCATTAGCATATATGCAAATCGGCCCCTAGGAGCATGACGGGACCCGCCCCTTCTAGTCTCCTGTTGTTCCAAGCACTCTGCATTGCTCACAGCGCTCCCAACACTGGCTCAATCCCGGCGACCCAGTTTGTTCTGAAATGACTTCGACAAATGAAACACTTAAATGAAAATGATGTTTTGGTCATCGCGGTCACAGCACCAGGCTTCAATAAGCAAAATGAATAAAAATAATTGGAACTAGACACAGGGTGTAGGTGGGGATGGATGGACAAACAGTCATTGAAATAAGGAGCATGAAGGCAATACGTTTCCACACGATGCCTTTTTCATCTCCGGAACTCACTGCCACAGGATGTTGTTGAGCCAAAGACACAGGAGGATCCCCAGAGAGATTAGGCATTTCTGTGAATCAGAAGAATTCCACATGCGGGGGCACACACAAACCCTGCCCTTCAGGGCACGAGTTGAACCATAGGTGGGTGAATGCATGGTTGCCCAGCGTGAGGGTTCTTGGAACCCTGCGTGGATTCACTGTGGAAGCCCTTGTATTGCCCCCAACCCAGGAGGGGAAGATGCAGAACAGTCGGGCCCCTCTGACCAATAAGTGGGGGATCCCCAGGGAGGGGACCCTTCCCCACTTCAGGGAGTGCACAGGGCTCTGCTCCCTGCCCAGAGGCCAGGAGAAGGGGCCTGGTACCAGTGCCTTGGAGACCCCATGGTCCCACCTTGATCCCCCAACACAGCGCAGCTGGTGGCCCTGTGGCTCTTGGCAGAGCACTGTGGGTCACACGGTGCTAGTCTGCATTCCTCCACCAGGTGGCGCGCTGGCTCCACACTGCCCTGCTCTCTGGGCTCAGCAGGTGGGGCAAACTTGGTCCAGTGTCCCCAACTGCAGGCTCCCCTCAGCTTTGAGGGAGGCTGGGGTAGGGGGAGAGCCTGGGGTCATGTGATTAAAGTGGGCAGGGCGGAGGCACGGGGAGGATGAATTAAGGCTGCAGAAACAAGGTTAAAACTGGCATTTCTGTAAGTGTCTGGTGCTGGATGTGGGAACCTCAGTTCCCTTTTTCACGTCATTTCCTAGGGGGTGGAAACGGCAAAAATTGTTTCC